TTTATCGGGGGGGGGTGCCTGTGGCTGCCAGGGCCCCGTTAATTTTTTTATTCCCTCCCCATGGATGACAGTGAAAGTGACCCTGCCCTGCAGGGCACCCGCTCTGTCCTGTCCTTCTTCGCCCGCAAAGAGGCCTCCAAGCGCCAGCCCCACCGCTTCTTCCACGAACGCAAGCTGGAGACCGTGACTGGGCTCTAGTGGTACCCGGGGGAGCGCTGCCCCCATGCCCCTCCCAGCTGTTTCCACCCCCCCGCAACCGGCCCAGCTTGACTTGGAGCAAGAACTTTTGACTCCGTCTCTGGGGTCGTAGTTAATGATGGTGCTCGCTGAGCTGAGCCACTGTCCCCAGGGCTGGAAGGAGCCAGCACTGGCGCCCCCTTGTGGTGGGTTTTACACCCATAACAAATTCCTCCCTCTTTCTTTTAGTTAATAAAACACTTTGAAAAATCTCCAGGATTTGTAATGCTGCCATGGGGCCTGTCCGGCTGTGTCCCCAAGTCCTGCTGCTGCCTCAGGGCTGGGATCCTTCGCCTGGTGCCAAGATGCGGCCACCTCTGGGGTGGGGCTGATTGGGGGAAAAATGAGGAGGGGTGAAAAAAAATCCCACAGACCCCTCTTTCTTTTAGTTAATAAAACACTTTGAAAAATCTCCAGGATTTGTAATGCTGCCATGGGGCCTGTCCGGCTGTGTCCCCAAGTCCTGCTGCTGCCTCAGGGCTGGGATCCTTCGCCTGGTGCCAAGATGCGGCCACCTCTGGGGTGGGGCTGATTGGGGGAAAAATGAGGAGGGGTGAAAAAAAATCCCACAGACCAAGTTTTAAAGGTTTTTAAGTTTAGTTCTTTCCACAGTATCAGCTGATATCCAAACAGGGTTTTTCCCCTTGTAATCCCAGCTGGGCAGGAAGCAGGCCGGGCTGGCCCCATGGGAATGACACTCAGAGCAAGGGGGTTAAATGGCGGGGTGCACATTTTGGAAGGTTTGGGGCTGGTTTGAGGAGTGCTGGCTTAAAACACAGCTTGAATTCCCCTTCCCCCGCCGGCCAGGGGGGCAGATCCCTGCTTTGAGGGACACAGCGCCCCCTAGTGCCATGCTGGGGCCCAGCGGTCAGCAGACTGCTCGGGGAGAGCCCCCAGCCTGCTCCTTGTAGCCCAGCAGCCTGAGTGGGACTGCCCTCCCCCTGCACAAATAAATCCCCCCTCCCCAGCCTGCTAGACACGGTAGGTTCTGTCTACACCAGCTTGTGAGAGGTTGCAACAGGCGTTAGCTTGCACGTCGTGTCCCCCCCCGCCCCCCCCCGAGCCTTGGCTTGCCGTGCCTCCAGATGGCTTAGCCACTGTGCGCTACAGAGCCTCTTCTTGCCGGGGCAGCGTGGTCTAGTGGATAGAGCAGGGAGGCAGGCCGCTTGCCTGGAACGGAGCAGGGTCTAGTGTTCTGCGGAGGGGGAACTGGGAGACAGGACCCCTGGTTTCCACCCCTCCCTGTCATGTAACCTAGTGGTTGGAGCAGGGGAGGATTTAGAGCCACCAGCACTGACTGAGTTACTCCCAGATTTCCCCTCTCTGTGCCTCAGTTTCCCCTTCTGTGGTGCAACTGGATCCCTGGCTGATTGCAGACCCACATGCTATGGGAGGGCTGGTGGTAAGTGGGGACTTCCTCCCTGGGGAGCTGGATGCTCGGGGAGCTAACACCCCTTGCGCTAGACCCTGTGGCTGTGGGGAAGGGGTGCTGTGGGTTCCCCTGGTAGGGTGCAAGAGGGGCCAGAGAAGCAGTCACAGCATGGGGGGGTGAGCACAGGGGTCTGGGGTTTGCATAGATTACAAGCGAGTTCCTCCCCCCCCCAGCACCTGGGGGGAGTGGTGCAGGAGGGACTCTGGGGTGGGGAGGGGGGAGGAGGATGCTGGGGGA